ATTTGGGAGCACCAGCTCCACTCCCAGCCTCCCAAACCCACGGCCGTAGTGGTCCCGGGTTTGGGGCCGGGAAGGAAATAGCAGTAACCAGTGAGGAGTACCCGGGGGCAAAGTTTCCAAATGGGCGGTGGGGAAAAATTTTTCGTCAAAGCCCCCCAGGAAGAAAAACGTAGCCGTATTTTGACTATGTCCCGGGAAAGTCAAGCGGGGCCCCCGGGGGGCCCCTTTTGGGGAAACTACAGAAATTGCGTCAGCTTTTTAAAGGCGTTCAAACCATTCGGTTCCCGGGGAAAAAACCGTGATAAAGATAGGCGGTTCTCCCTGCCCCAGCCCGGGGGTTCCATTTTGTCTAGGGTGCTGGCAGTTTAAGGGGGCCTTTCCCATTGCTGCTGCCGGGGCCTTTTAATCCCCAGGGGCCCCTGTATTTAGCCCCCCTCTTCTGCTGCCAGGTCCCGGGAGTCTGTCAGGGGTCCCTGAAAGGGCCCCTCCCATTGCTGCTGTCCCATCGCCACCCTGCCTGTGCCACTTTCAGGTCTCCTCACACACTGCGGTTTTTTGTTAAATTTTTTAAACAAAAGGGTTTGTTTGGCCCAGTTAGGGGCCCCCCAAAAGCTGCTCCCCCCAGGCCCCAAATCTCCCAGGGCCCCCCCCCTTATATCCCCCCCGGGCCTCCTCATGTTTGCCCCCCAATCCAATCTGTAGGGGCCCTGTCGGCCCCCGCCTCCTCATCGCTGCTGCCAGGTCCAGAGTCTCTCATGGGTCCCTGTAAGGCCTCCCATTGCTGCTGTCTCCATCGCCACACTCTGCCTAATGTGCCACATTCAGGTCTTCACACATGCTGTTTTCTATTTTTTGACATAGGGTGCTGGCAGATTACGGGCCCCCCCAGAGTCTCTCATGGGTCCCTTACGGCCTCCCATTGCTGCTGTCTCCATCGCCACACTCTGCCCACATGTGCCACTTTCAGGTCTCCTCACACTGCTGGTGTGTTCAATTTTTTTGACATAGGGTGCTGGCAGATTACGGGCCTCCCATAGCTGCTGCCAGGCCCCTAATCTGCCATGGGCCCCTATATACCAGCCTCCGTCATGCTGCTGCCAGTCCAGAGTCTCTCATGGGTCCCTGTACGGCCTCCCATTGCTGCTGTCTCCATCGCCACACTCTGCCATGTGCCACTTTCAGGTCTCCTCACACACTGCTGGTGTGTTCAATTTTTTGACATAGGGTGCTGGCAGATTACGGGCCTCCCATAGCTGCTGCCAGGCCCCTAATCTGCCATGGGCCCCTATATACCGCCTCCTCATGCTGCTGCCAGGTCCAGAGTCTCTCATGGGTCCCTGTACGGCCTCCCATTGCTGCTGTCTCCATCGCCACACTCTGCCATGTGCCACTTTCAGGTCTCCTCACACACTGCAGGTGTGTTGATTTTTTGACATAGGGTGCTGGCAGATTACGGGCCTCCCATAGCTGCTGCCAGGCCCCTAATCTGCCATGGGCCCCTATATACCGCCTCCTCATGCTGCTGCCAATCCAGAGTCTCTCATGGGTCCCTGTACATTGCTCTGTCTCCATCATCTGCCATGTGCCACTTTCAGGTCTCCTCACACTGCTGGTGTGTTGAATTTTTTGACATAGGGTGCTGGCAGATTACGGGCCTCCCATAGCTGCTGCCAGGCCCCTAATCTGCCATGGGCCCCTATATACCGCCTCCTCATGCTGCTGCTGCCAGGTCCAGAGTCTCTCATGGGTCCCTGTACGGCCTCCCATTGCTGCTGTCTCCATCGCCACACTCTGCCATGTGCCACTTTCAGGTCTCCTCACACACTGCTGGTGTGTTCTATTTTTTGACATAGGGTGCTGGCAGATTACGGGCCTCCCATTGCTGCTGCCAGGCCCCTAATCTGCCATGGGCCCCCCTACTGACTCCTCATGCTGTGACGTTGCAACAAGGTGGAATTCAACCCTACATATGTTAGACCCCCGCCTTTACGAACAGCAAAAGGCCATCACAGATTTCCTGATGTTAAAAGCGGATAAAGGTACTCCCTGTGTAACTTAGATGTCAGCCATTGGCAGCTCATGCGTGACACCTGCGCTTGCTCAGGCCCTTTGAGGAGGCCACGCTATTCGTGAGTCGGCAGGACTATGGGATGAACGACGTCATTCCTCTGTTGCACGTCCTGGAACAAATGCTGTTAATAATGGCTGGTCAGGGTGTGGTAGACGTGGCGCACAGATCTCAACGCCACATGACCCCTGTGGGGGCAGGACAGGAAGAAGAGGAGAGGAGGTAGAGGAGGACATTGGTGCTCAGAATTATTGAGTGAAATGGGTGTGGTTTTTTCCACTCAGCGGACAGGAGTGGAGGAGCAGGAGCATCTGGTAGAGGAGGAGGAAGAGAGACAGAGGACCCAGACGCACCGTGGCAGTATGCTGTGGAGATGGAGGCAGGGAGTCCCTCGCATTCCTTGGCACAAATGGCCCATAGCATGCTCGCTTGCTTGCGTACCGACAGCCGAATAATAACCATCAGACAGAGGGATGACTTTTGGCTGTCCACCTTGTTGGACCCTCGCTACCGTTCCAAAATGGTGGCCTTTTTCACACCTGCTGAGAGGGAGGCCAAAATAACGTACTATAAAAACCACCTATGTAGTCAGCTGGTCTCTGCCTGTCTGCGCCAACGTCCATCCTCAGACACTGTGGGCCTGTGCGCTCGCATTCCGCTGCCATGGCAGCAGGGGAGGGGGTGGGGTGGTAGGAGCAGTGGCAGCTCCACCAGCAGCAGCTGCCTCAGTCTGCAGTCGATGATGAGTAGCTTTCTTCACAGCGCAGTGAGGAAACTAATAACCAGCCAGCAGCAGCAGCAGCATCAGGTGGACCTGGAGCAGGACCTCAAACAACAGGCTTAGGCCTACTTGGACAGCACCCTGCCAACCGAGGTAGACAATCCCCTTGACTACTGGGCAACGAAACTTGACCTTTGGCCCCAACTAGCTGAATTTGCCCTTGAAAGGCTGTCATGCCCGGCCAGTAGCGTGGCATCGGAGCGCGTGTTTAGTGCGGCAGGAGGTATTGCAACTCCGCGGAGGACACGACTGTCCACCCAAAGTGTGGAGAGACTCACGTTTGTGAAAATGAATCAGGCGTGGATTAGTCTGGATTTCAAACCACCAGTTCCTGACACAACTGACTAAATCCGCCATGAATCATGCCCCAAACATGTGCCACTTTCAGGTCTCCTCACACTGCTGGTGTGTTCCATTTTTTGTCATAGGGTGCTGGCAGATTACGGGCCTCCCATAGCTGCTGCCAGGCCCCTAATCTGCCATGGGCCCCCTATACTACCGCCTCCTCATGCTGCTGCCAAGTCCAGAGTCTCTCATGGGTCCCTGTACAGCCTCCCATTGCTGCTGTCTCCATCGCACACTCTGCCATGTGCCACTTTCAGGTCTCCTCACACTGCTGGTGTGTTCAATTTTTTGACATAGGGTGCTGGCAGATTACGGGCCTCCCATAGCTGCTGCCAGGCCCCTAATCTGCCATGGGCCCCTATACCGCCTCCTCATGCTGCTGCCAAGTCCAGAGTCTCTCATGGGTCCCTGTACGGCCTCCCATTGCTGCTGTCTCCATCGCCACACTCTGCCATGTGCCACTTTCAGGTCTCCTCACACTGCTGGTGTGTTTCAATTTTTTGACATAGGGTGCTGGCAGATTACGGGCCTCCCATAGCTGCTGCCAGGCCCCTAATCTGCCATGGGCCCCTATACCGCCTCCTCATGCTGCCAGCTGCTGCCAAGTCCAGAGTCTCTCATGGGTCCCTGTACGGCCTCCCATTGCTGCTGTCTCCATCGCCACACTCTGCCATGTGCCACTTTCAGGTCTCCTCACACACTGCTGGTGTGTTGAATTTTTTGACATAGGGTGCTGGCAGATTACGGGCCTCCCATAGCTGCTGCCAGGCCCCTAATCTGCCATGGGCCCCTATACCGCCTCCTCATGCTGCTGCCAGTCCAGAGTCTCTCATGGGTCCCCTGTACGGCCTCCCATTGCTGCTGTCTCCATCGCCACACTCACTCTGCCATGTGCCACTTTTCAGGTCTCCTCACACACTGCTGGTGTGTTGAATTTTTTGTCATAGGGTGCTGGCAGATTACGGGCTCCCATAGCTGCTGCCAGGCCCCTAATCTGCCATGGGCCCCTATACCACCCCTCCTCATGCTGCTGCCAGGTCCAGAGTCTCTCTCATGGGTCCCTGTACGGCCTCCCATTGCTGCTGTCTCCATCGCCACACTCTGCCATGTGCCACTTTCAGGTCTCCTCTCCACACTGCTGGTGTGTTGAATTTTTTGTCATAGGGTGCTGGCAGATTACGGGCCTCCTATAGCTGCTGCCAGGCCCCTAATCTGCCATGGGCCCCTATACCGCCTCCTCATGCTGCTGCCAGGTCCAGAGTCTCTCATGGGTCCCTGTACGGCCTCCCATTGCTGCTGTCTCCATCGCCACACTCTGCCATGTGCCACTTTCAGGTCTCCTCACACACTGCTGGTGTGTTCCATTTTTTGTCATAGGGTGCTGACAGATTACGGGCCTCCCATTGCTGCTGCCAGGCCTGTAATCTGCCATGGGCCCCGTACCGCCTGGTCACGCTGCTGCTGGGTCCAAAGTGTGACATGGGTCCCTGTACCGCCTCCCATTGCTCCCACTCTGCCATGTGCCACTTTGAGGTCTCCTCACACTCCTGCTGTTTTCCATTTTGTCATAGGGTGCTGGCAGATTACAGGCCTCCCATAGGTGCTGCCAGGCCCCAAATCTGCCATGGGCCCCCGTACCGCCTCGTCACGCTGCTGCTGGGTCCACAGTGTGACATGGGTCCCTGTACCGCCTCCCATTGCTCCCCACTCTGCCATGTGCCACTTTGAGGTCTCCTCACACTCCTGCTGGTTTCCATTTTGTCATAGGTTGCTGTATGGCCTCCCATTGCTGCTGCCCACCGCCACCGCCACACTGTGGCTCCAAACACTGGTTTTGGCCCCGTGACTGGCCAAATGAGTGAAGTGTGCGGTGATTCTAAGATCGACGGCACTCATCTGCATGTCATACTGACTGACAGTATTATTTCTCTTCCCCAGCAGACTCCAAGGGCATTTAAATTAAAGGTACAGTGTTCTGCACTAATATTAAGTCTCTCTGAAGCCTAGAAACACCCTTTTTTAAGTTAAATTCACAGCGCATATATTCGACTCGAATCGAATATTGTCCACGAATTCGCCGAATCAGTCGAATCGAATTTTTGAATACTTCGCTCATCTTAATAGCGATGGAAGAATAAAGTCTTGGTTGAGGTGAAAGGCTGAAACCACTTTGGGAAGGAGGGAGGCTCTAGGCATTTTTACTGGTGGAAGTCTAGAAAAGGCTTCTTTACAGGACAAGCCTGCCAGCTCAGACTCATCTCACAGAGGTGATGGGGACTAGAAACAGAACTTCCTTAAGAGTGGATAGGGTCATATCCCTGATCTTTCCTCGCACAGGGTGATGCAAAGTATGCCTTCCACAAATAATAGTAGACCTCCCGAGAGGCTGACTTCTTAGTTTTAATAACATGGCAAATACATAATTTGAGAAACTCTGCTCTCAAGCCTGGGCTTCAACAACCATGCTGTTTATACTTCAATATTTTTATTGAGAATTAGTTTACAGTGGTATGCATAGGAACAATAACATTTCCGCCCACATGGCGATATGGTGAGCATAAAACAAAGTCATAGAACATATAAGCATATATATAAAAACCAGCATTCTCACCAGGTAGCAAACGTTCCAACAGACGATGGACAAGGGCATTGCCAGAGAAATTAACCACCAATATAAAACCCCAATTCAAAAGAAAAAAAGTTAAAAATAGGGAAATGGAAAGAAAAGATCTAGGAAAGACAAGGGGGGGGGGGGGGGGGGAAGAGGAGAAAAGGGAGAAAAGAGTCAGCTGCGGCGTTATTAAGCAATGGAGATATATCTGATCCATGGTTCCCACGTTCCCTCAAATCTAGATTCATCATTATTGACAATGCTAGTTAACTTATCATTTACCATTATCCAATTAAGTTTTTGTTTAACCCCGTCTAGCAGGATCAATGATTGTCTCCAACTTCTAGCTATGGTAATACGTGCCGCAAGTAAGAGGTAATTAATTAGTTTAGTCGATTTTTTTTGGAACGGTAGCAGAGCAGATGAAATAAGGCCACTTCTGGTGTTCTACGAACGAATATTAATTCCCATAACCGAGTAGATAAAATTAAACATTCGGATCCAAAATCTATTCACTACCGGACATTTCCACCAAAATATGGAACATAGTTCCCTCTTGTCTGCAGTGCCAGAAGCAATTAGGTGATACCGAAGGACATATTTTAGCGAGGCGCGTAGGAACCAAGTACCAACGAAGTAGCGTTTTGTAATTGGGTTCAATAAGAGCAGTATTAATCGATATCTTTGTTAGAGAATGGGCCGCAGTCTGCCAAGTTTCCAGATCTAAGGAGCTATTCAAGTCCCTTTCCCATTGAGTCATATAGGATAATTTAGTGAGAGGATCGACAAAAGAAGCATAGACAATGGACAAACGACCCCTCATCAACCCAGTTGCCCACAGGAGACTTCTAAAGGAGTGAGTGTACAAGGTTCCTCGATTAATTTAAGTTTGCTAGAGATAAATGAGATAATAGCGAAACAATTCTCTGGGAGGCATCTGGTACTGTGTCAGAAAATACTGGAGAAAACGAGGACGAAGTCCATCCAGGAAGTCTCCAATACTCAGCAAACCCTTATTCAACCACCATTGAAATACTGATGGTGAAACACCAGGAATAAACTCAGGATTATAATAAACTGGAGCTAATGGAGTATGTGGGGAGAAGAAAGGTTTGCGAGCCCACCATCTGTCCCAAACCATCAACGAATAGGACAGCGTAGGACACAAAATAGGAGGATGTAAGCAACTGGGGAGCCACATAAGAGCACCAATAGTATAAGGATGGCAGGATAAGGCCTCAATGCCAACCCACTGGGGGACATAACCCCTGGCTGTAGTACAAGTTAACTGTGCTATCTGAGCCGCATGAAAATAAGCTAGGAGATTAGGAAGTCCCAAAACCGCCATGCTTCTTTAGGGAAAAGAGAGTTGATCTGTTGACCCTAGGATGCTTTCCCCTCAGATAAATCTAGAGACTGCAGCCTGTAAGAGCATCAGTTCCCGTTTGGGAACCATTATCGGTAACGTCCTAAAGTAGTTCAATAGGCGCGGTAAAAAAGTAATTTTAATAGAGTGGATTCTACCAAACCAGGAAAGTGGGAGATCCTGCCACTCTAGTAAATCAGATTTAGGTTGCTTGAAGAACGGAAGATAATTGGTCTTGTACAAGGATGAAAAAGATTTTGTGAGGTGAATCCCCAGATAGGGGATAGAACGAGGGGCCCACTGGAAATCAAAATTGTCCTGAAAGTAACGAACCTCTGAGTCAGGCAACAAAATATTTAAGGCAATTGTTTTAGAGGAATTAAGAGTAAGACCGGAGGCCTCTGAGAAAAGATGAAACGGGTGAAGGAGACCGGGTAAAGAAGTGCGAGGATCAGATATGTACATAAGGACATCATCAGCAAATAGAGCGCATCTATGATCCCGCTGACCACAGTGGATGCCCGAAATAGTGGGATCAGAGCAAATGGCGATCGCAAGCGGTTCCATTGCCAGGAGCGATGAATAATAGTGGAGAGAGAGAACAACCCTGTCTAGTACCACGCCCTATCGTCAGGGAGGCTGACTTATAACCACGAATGGAAACTTGAGCCGAAGGATTAGAATAGAGGGCCCGTAGCAAGGTCATAAAAGAAGGGCCAAACCCAAACCTATCTAACATCTGAAATAGGTAGTCCCACGATAGACTGCCAAACGCTTTATGAATATCCAGCGATAACAATAAAATTTCCCACTGTGAAGATTTGTCCCAATTAGAATGTACGGCTGACAGCAAAGCTAAAGTCCAGCAAATTTGGTCAGATGTTTGTCGACCGCTGATAAATCCTGACTGATCATCATGAACATACAGTGCTAGGAATTTATGAAGGCGTGAGGCCAAAATTTTTGTGAGAATCTTTAGATCACAATTAATGAGATGGGCCGGTAATTGGAAACTATAGAAACATCTTTGAGGGGTTTGGGGATGACACTAATGAATGCCTTATTTTGTCGGGGGGCACTAGTCCCCCATCCCGTACATAATTAAAATATTGAACCATACGGGGAACCAGGATATCAAGGAAACCTTTGTAATAATTGTGAGGAAGACCATCCGGTCCTGGAGATTTATAATGAGCAAAAGATTTCAAAGCATCCCTAATCTCTTCACATGAAATGGGCCGTTCCATCGACTCCCTATGAGCCTCCTGGAGACAGGGAAGAGAAACAGAACTCAAGAAGGAGTCGAAAGACGAA